TTTTCAGGCACAAGAACATGTGAGAAGGTCAGACACGGATCGACCTGCAGCTTTAATCTAAACTCTGTCATGACTGAAAGTTTTGTGTATTATTTGTGTATGAAAGAGCGCCGAGGTTTATAGATCAGTCTAATCTGAAGCCCTCAAAGTGTTTTTCTGACTGACCTACTCTGCATGCAGCACTGACAAACATGCTTTTTATACTTGAACACTTTAAGTCAATAATTTGAAAAAGAAATTAGACCTGAAGAAGATTTCTTTTGGTTGCATAATGAAGCCACCAGGTGATATTTTAAACCAGTGATACTTAATTGTCTGAGCACGTTAATATCTCAAGAGCTGCTTCAAAGTCTGACCACTTCCAGCTTGTGTCACCGTAGCGCTCCATGTTTGTAAATGATGTCAAAGATGTGAGAGCTCTGAGGCTGTTGTGGTTCAACGGCCTTGTGGGATGGAATTAGATCGGATCTAAGACAGAAGTGGCGCAGGTTGGATTTCCTCTGCGCTCGTACCAATTCGATGTCCCTCTGGGGGCGCACGGACGAGCCGAACACAAATTTGACAGCACCGGGTCCCTGAAGCAAATCACGTTAACGCGAGAACAGCCTGTCGAGTCGTGTCACCTCGCCTCACTCTTCTTCTCGTGTTTGACGGGGTCGCCTCTTTGTTCGCCTCACCAGTAAAGAACGCATCGCCACTTCGCTAAGAAGCCGAGAAGTGAAGTTAGGTGATTGTTTTAGATAATCGTCCGGCCTCGCCCCACGCCTGCCCGGGCCCGTGCGTCCTGTAAAGCCGACAGCTGCGATGAAATGAATATGAATGGCTGTTTGTGGCGTGGTCAGACCTGCCAAAGATATTTAAAGAAAGTATTAATGATGATGAACTGAATGGCATGTGGCAAACTTCACTATGAGTCATTAGCATAATGAGTCAATCAGTAATCATATGTCACATCTGATAACGGGGTGCGCTGACACACGTGCACACGCACACGCGCATCTCCACTTGACATCTGTCGCCGCCGCCCTGTCTTTAAACGACACTTTGACTTTGATCACACGAGCCGATCAATCACGCGCGTTTACGCCACTTTCCCCAAAAAAACTCGCATTTGTTCGGCTCCCGGCTGCTATAATTAATCAGAGTTAACACTGGCAAAGCTTTCGATAATTCTTGATTCAACATACTGTAATTACTCATTTAGATAGCATTGTGTTTGAGCGTTTCTCCCTCAGATCTCAAGGTCAGAGCGGAATTCCAATTCATTGATTCGTGGCTGCGTGGGACGTGTCGTGCATAGATATGCTGCTTTTCTGTTTCCAGAGCTTCGTCTCTTCACTTTTGTGCTTCTATTTCTAGTATAACAAAAGCACTGTAGCAAAATGAGCCTTTTTAATCTTCCACCACATAGCGTCTGGTTCTCGAGGACAGCAGCCTCCTGGATGCTGGCGCTCGTGGCTTAAACAGCATATACGAGAGCTTATCGCAGACAGCTGTGAGTCGTCTTGGTTCGGCGATTGCAGGTGCATTAAACTCAATTTTCTGCTGTTCACATTCTCACCTCTTTAAGGTATTTCAAGATTGCTGCTTTCTTGCACCACACTGACAAAACCCTAGAAAACATTTGCAGTAAAGATCTCTGCAGGGCGTTGCTCTCCTTTTCTTTGTCAAACACACCTACGCAAAAGCATGCTTCCCAATTTTTGTCCCCGTTCTTTTAATGTTCCCTTAAATCAAATGATTATTTGAATTTTTGCTCCAGGATGAAATGTTTTTGGCTTAAAATGCACGTTGTTTAACCACTAACAGCACTTTCACTGGCAGCGTAAAAAGCAGGAAGTATGAGATTCCCATCATCCCCTGTCGTGATATTGGCCAACAATGGTAGTGCATTAGTACCAATCAGAAACATTAGAGGAAATTTGCTGTGGCGTGATTTGATAAAGGGCCGACGCATTCTCGAAACAGCCTCCCTTCACTCTGCTGCTGATAATAGACAGCTCCACAGGCAGCGATGGGCGAACTCGTGCACGAGCATCAGCCGGTGCACTTCTATCTGATCTTGTCAGCTAAAAGCTTTAAAGTTTAAAGTGTTTTTGTCCTCATTTAGCTCAATTAACCAAATGTAATTAGCCACACAGAGAAAGAGAGCGTGATTGATGCTTCACTGTAGCTGTGGTGTTCAGCATTCATCATCAGATCCTTTTCTTCACCGACTGTCGACCAACTCGTACCGCACTCCTCATGTTGCCATTTGTTGTGTGAATGTGTTACATTGTCTCAACCTGCCAGCTGACTCTAACTGTAGCATCCACCCACTTTCCTCATCGCACAAACGCCATGACGGTCATACGGTCACCCTAATGTTTGCGGCGCTTTGGTGAAAATTCCCAAGCAAACATTCCGTGACGTCACATCCATCCAACAGCTCCTTGTGGGACCCAGTAACTCTGTTTTCTTCTCTACCCACAGCTCTTACCGCCTGGATAAAATCAACAGTGACATGCGTAACTACATCACCAATTTTGCTGCAGACTTGAGGTGAATACAGGTTCAGCTCCTCCCCCTTGCCTCTCCGTTGCTGCCATGTTGCAGCGGTCAGATGTCAGAGCCAGCTGGCTCGCTGCCCTGCTGACATATTCAATATGGACGCCTTACAGAGCAAACACTCAAGACCAGTCAATGAAAGGTCACCTGGGGCAATCTGCTCATACTGCCAAAGCACAAGGCAATGATGCACACAATGCAGATTTGATTTTCCCTGCTGTTCTTTACATCAGCGTGCTTTTATAGTGCTAAAAATAAGATATGTGGTGCTTGTACCACAACATTTACACTTAATCGCTGGGTGTTTCTACCCCAGCATGTCTTTGGGTGTTTAGAAAGTTGATATTACTTTGCAAATACGCATGGCCTTGCTACAGCATCACAAGATGGATTGGGAGACTTTTAATCACACTGGCGTTTTCATGCTGCCAAACACCAGCGTTTATCTCTATAAAAAGCCCAGAAACTGCTTACTCATCCCGGCCTGTCATTAGAAACAGATCTGGCGGAGGGAACCCAACCTCACTTTGCTCACATAGTATTCTTTATTTTACTTAAAGCACATTTCTTCTGAGTCATTTTCTCTTCGGCAGATTCCTAACCAGCCGTGGGTTTCTGAGCACCTCTCCTGCACTGCTGGGGGAGCACGTTTAATTGACCTGGCTGACACTGGGGTGCTCTCCAAAGTGCTTGCTCACTAACTAGCCCCTGATTTGCATTTCCCTCATTTCCAAGCACTGATTGGATGTTTCAGCACGACAACAATCAAAGTGCCTTTCTAAGGACACGAATGAATGTAGCGAGGTGGGGGAAACAGGAAGAGACAGCCTAAGAGCCACGGTGTCATCCAGCCTCCCTCTCAAGCTCAGCCAGCTGTGCTTAGTAATTCTTCATCGTGTTGCACAAAATGCTTGTTTATCAGTCAGATTATATTTACTTGCTTTATGGCTGTAGTCCCACTCCTGTCCTGCTTTTCTTTGTCTCTCTCTGTTCAGTCAGAGCTACCACTTGCAAGCCACCAGGGACATGCACCCGAGCATTGCCCTGGATCCCTCCACCAACTACAACTCACCCAAGTTTCGCTCCAGGAATCAGAGCTATATGCGGGCTGTCAGCACCCTCAGTCAGGCTAGCTGTGTTAGCCAAGTGAGCCAGGTGAGTGCGCATCCTTTAGGTTCGCACAGATTTTCCTGGATCCCCGAGGGAGCCAGAGGGGTTCGCTTTAATTTCCAGGAAAATTTAATAAAGTCATTTCATTTAAAATCCCACTTAAAGAGGCCGATTCCCCTAGTTTAATTGTCACGGCACTGAGTATTGTTTTCAAAGCCCAGGCATAATTTTTCTGACACAAATTTAGTCTCAACACTTTACTGCACATTGTTTATCTGGACAAATTAAAGGATTGAAGTGGGGCTTGCTGAGATATTCATCTCCTTAGTAAAAGAGAGATATTGATTTGCTTGGAGTCCCAGCATTTCAACTAAACTTCCTCTAATTCCTAATCCCAGTCGAACAAGATGTTTATCTTTGATTCCTGATATTGCCAAATGAGAGTGGAGAGATAACGGTTAAACAGTTTCTGCTGTTTTAAAGGCATCAAATCCAACAACAAATGTGTCACGAACTCTCCGACAGTGTGCGACCTTGACTCCATGAACCTTCTCGCAGACTCTGCTTCTTTATGATTTTAAAGTGAGAAAAAGTGAAGGTTTACAGCCAACCGATAAAAATATGTCGATCGATGGAGCTCATTTATGGCTTTGTTTCTCTCAGGTGAGTGAAACAGAAATTAACGGCCAGTTTGAGTCTGTGTGCGAGTCTGTGTTCAGCGAGGTCGAATCCCAGGCCATGGACGCTTTGGACCTGCCCGGCTGCTTCCGAACCCGGAGCCACAGCTACCTGCGAGCCATCCAGGCTGGCTACTCCCAAGATGACGACTGCATTCCCCCCATGGCCTCCACCGTCACCTCCACCATCAGGTCCACCACAGGTAAGCGTGGTTAAACATAAATCTGCACAATATATTAGTGGACGTGTGACACTAATACGTTTTATTTTGACACGGATGTGTGGTTATGGATACATAAAGACTGTTAGTGCCAACTCATGCTGTCAAACAGTTTCCGAATATTTGCATGAATCATTCTTGTGTGTGTTCATTTTTACTGAGGCATTTGTAGTTACCAGTTGCGAGCTGTTCGTACTTTGGATACAGCGCTTCATCTGCTCATCCACTGGATGCATCAAAGAGTAAAGCTATGAACCCTATTGAAAAGTGTCTGAAATAAAAATCAGGTCAGAATAAGGACACCTGCTGCTTTTTCCACTGCATATATTTCTTTGTTGTGCCACATGGTGACAATGAGCACGCAGCTTTATCGTCTCGCTGGAAATACCACGTGAAGTTTTTACTTGAAGCGAGTTGACAGACTGTTTAATTCACACAAGTTATTTTGTCTCAAGCTCACGTTTACGCACAACGAGACGATATTACAGAGCTGCAGACAGTTGTGTCTACACTCGGATCAGCTGACTACAGCGGTAACCGAACTGTCGCGCTAGTTAGTCACATGTATCACACGTGCAAATTACTCAGCTGAAACATGCATTTACTTCTGATACTGAGCATTCATTATAACAACTTGTAAGCTGTTTCAACAATTCCCTGATTGCTGGATTCACAGAGGAAAGGATACATCCTTGTACAGATGAAGAATGTGGGAAGAACAGAAGAGAAACAGCTCGGACAAGAAGTCCAAGTGGATTCCACCTCCTCCCGCAGTAGATTCACGATCCAACAGTTGGGCTATAATAGGGAGAGTTAGAGGTGTGGACATCTGGAGATGTGCTTATAATCAATTCTTCATACCTATAAATGTTTGCTTACACTGCTTTCTCAGTAAACTCAAAGATCTCTTAAGAGTTTGGTGCAATGTATTTTGCAACTCGATTTAGTCAGTCAAACTGGACTTGACATTTTCAATAGGGTTCATACTGTACTTCCTGATTGATGAGAAAAGCTTTGGAATCATTGCTCATCTTTGCCTCTTTTCACTGCACAAAGTTCACATTTCCTTACCTCAAACGGAAGCCGAAGAGCAGGCAAGGACTGTTCTCACACCTCGCTGATTAGACGAAATTGTCCGTTCTCTATGATGTGTTCCATGAGCTAGGAGTTTCAGCTTTGTGCATTGAAAAGATGTGAAGAATGCATGCTAGAAATTAAGGATGAGAAGGCAGTGTAAACCATCAGCATAAGTGAGTCAAAATGGGAGTGCTGTGTAAATGCTAATATGACGTATTGTTACTTCTATACATCTGTGGGAGTCGCACGAGGAGATTGGCACAATAATCACTGCTGTACATTTCAGCTATTATCTTATTTTGACTCATGGCATTCAGTGCATGACTTGATGTTACTGCATTGTGACAATAAAAAGCACATTCTCTCCAGCTGCTCACACCTTTGGCCATATTACAGATATATATATCTACATTTGTCTTCCAGACAGAAATTATGTGCAGGAAGACTCTTGTTTACCTGACCAGGACAGAATACATGAGGATTTGGCAGACACAGTCCCTCTGACTCATGATGATCTAGGCTGCCCCATCAGAAGAGACGGGCTTTACCACCAAGACAGCACGGGGGCTACAGCCAAACCCTTGTCTGGACCACCTGTTTCTCCGAGCCTCTTCAGATCCACTGGAGCTAGTGCTCCAGAACGGCCATCGCCAAAGGCCATCCAGGCCAGTATCAAAGAGTCGGCTACCCTGGCTGCCGCTATCAGCATGCAGTGGAAGGAAGAGGTCTCGGCCATGCGTCGAGAGCTAGCTGAACTCAGGAGGGACCTCTGTAAAGAACTTCGTGCTTTCAACAGTAATTTCAACACTTTCACGCAGCATTATAACACATGGTCTCCCCAGGGAGGCAACGTGGCCGCTGGAGCTGGGGCAGGCTTGGGTGCAGGAGCTGGACCTAGTACAGGGACCGGAACAAGGGCAAGGCCTGGAGCGGGGTTGGGGTCGGGGCCCGGTGCAGGAAGATTTGGAACCTCTACTGCAGATAGAGGCGCTGGGGGGGCTAGAGAGAAAAAGCCCCAAATATCCAAGGTATCGGTGGGGACCCAGGCCCGCAGCAAAGTCTTGGTCAGGCAGAGCACTGCAGATGCAGCTGTTAATTGTCCAGAAGAAAAAGACGAAAAGAAAGGGGCCCGCCGAGGCCTGCCAAAACAGCTCTCGATGGACCCGAGCATTCTTGCCTCTCCACAGTCAATGTACGTAGAAAGTGCCATACCACTTTCTTTGGATCCAATACTTCCTGTCTCTGTTCGAGCAGTCAAGCCAGAGACACTTGATGATACTGCTGTGCTCACCAGAGCTGAATCGGAGCTTGCAGTCGACGGTGCAGTTCTAAGCTCCTCTGACGTGGCCACTAATGAGCCAACCACCCAGGGTGCAGCGCCACGTTCTCTAGAAACAGCCCCTGAGAGTCCTCAGGGTTCATCAACACCTGAACAGGAAATGGTAATCACTCCACAACAAACAGATGTAGGTCCACGTAATAATTCCCTACCCCAATCTGAACCATCTTTCACAGATAACCCCCCAGACTCCAAGCAAATTCACAAGGATATGATACAGCTGCCATACCCAGTCCCTGTAGTTACAGTGTCACCACCAGATGAACAGGAACATGACATCATGTCAGATTCAGAGTCTCCAGATGTTGTCACTGTGGACAAACCAGATTCAGGCCCTAAAGATCCTACTGCCGTGTCCTCAACATATCCAGAACTGGAAAAGACAGATTCCTCAGACCCAACACAAGAAGAACTTCAACCATCAGAATCGCCCGTAGCCATTAGTCAAGGCTCAACCTCAAACTGTGATGCACCAACTCTTCAGTTTGATCCTCTTACACTGTCTGATTTGGATAGCGGCATAACATGTCCGTCTATTGTTGTGTCAGAGTATCTTGACTCGGACGATCCTGCGAGTCCAGCCGGCAGTGTCACAGATCCAGATCCCATTATCACCTTTCCCGATCATTCCGACCTCCCTGATGAGGAGAAAACATCTGTCTCAACTTTTGCTTCCAGCTCTGTAGAAACTCCACCAAACCCTGAATCTCAAGAGTCTCAAGACTCAGACTGGCCACCTCTTCCAGAACCGCTGGAGACCACCACTATATATCACGCTGATCTGGTCCATTTTGACTTGGTCATGCTGACTTCCCTGGATCAAGATGATCTGGACTCGGTGTTTATGGATCCTGAACCAGAGCCTTTTGACATTAGTGTTGACTCTTTATCAAATGTAGAGGATTTAGACCCACTCATGTACCAGTCAGACAGTCCAAGTTCACCTCTACCATCTGTTGACCCTGTTGCAATGGGCCCTTTGGATCCTTCAGAATCAACAGAGTTCGTCTGTTTGGACCCAACTACGGAGTATCACATGTCTCAGGACGTAGCCTCGGGATTACATGACATCCTACCACAGGTCACTGTCACAATATCCCCTCCAAGTTCGGTATCTCCTGATACATCACTGGAACTAGACTTTGGACCCACAAGTCCAGCTTCAGAACCTGCTCTATCATCAGGCCCAGATCTCCAAGAGATAACCTCGGAGGACCTGCCATCCATGGAGTCAGATGATGTTACAGCAGAGATACTGGAGTGTGTGGCTGTATCCCATATGACTGTGGGACCTGTGGAGGAGGATGTTCCAGGCAGTTCAGAAGCAGCTTCATCTGAGCAGGCCTTTTTGTGGTACAGGTGGCAGAAGAGGGGCCACAGGCGAGACTCGATGTACAGGAGTGCGAGTGTAGAACTGTGGAGTGGCCGATACGAGTACAACAGCGCAGAAATCACATACGTGTCTCTCACTCTGTGAGCTCATACCTCATCCTCAGCAGACGAAATGTAGCTGAAAATTATATTTATAGCTTTTGGTTTGTAGCTGCCAGTGCACTTACAGCGACGTGCGCATCGAAATGTCATGGGATCATTGGCATTCAAGCAAGAACTTCCTTCTACATCGTCCATGGAAAAAGACTGCATTGGTAGCAGCAAAACTGCATTTCATGGACTGCAACACAGTGCGAGAATGTCATAAACTCCTGCAGTGATAAATGCACTGAACAATAATGTTTCATAAAGCTCTCTGAAGCAGTTGTCACCTCTAATGTGAATCATCTCCCAGGAAAGGACTCCTCATCCTCAGAGTGCTGGTTCAAATCGATGGATGATCCTGCATAACAAATGTTGTACACATTTATTTTAAGCGCTCACTAATAGACTGTAGAAACAGTCCAGAGTGTACAAGGTCACAGCAGTCTTTGCAATGATTACGGCGATTACTTTGACCTATTTTGAGCTCTCCTTGCATTGTCACTCTAAAGTGGGGTGAAGTAAATATTGGCAGTTATCATATAACTATATAAAGAGATACTGTTTACTATGTGAGCTGTTGGATGGACGGGTTTAAAGAGAGAAGAACATGAGAAATGATGTTTGCACAATGCTGAGTGGAACTGGGATCCTCTACTGTTACAGCTGTTTGCAAAAGTTTGAGCAAATTGTTTATTCTGTTGATATTTTACAGTGAATGCAACCTCAGCGGTACACAGGTGTTAGAAGAAATAACTTTTTTTTAATTCAGTGGCTTAAAAATAATAAAAAATATCAAATGTGCCACATGCAGAGGTTTGCATCTGCTAACATCACTGACGTCTCAGCCCTTCATTAACGATCATCATTAGGTAAAATAAGGTGTGGGCAGACTTTTGCATACAGCTGCATTTTGTTGGAAAATAATTCTGCATTTATAATCATTCCCAACTAAAATTGCAAACCAGTAGAGTCACAGTATGTAGCTACCGTTACCTGCATACACATACAGTTTGCTATCAAACATGCACACATTTTCTGCACTGTACAGATGAATTCATCAGAGACACTCTAAATTATTACATTTGTCTGACACTGGAATAACAGGCTTTGCTCAGAGGTGATGATGTATTTTTTACTGTAAGCTATCATCCTAACGCTCAGGAATCAAAGACTGAGAATGTACTGGGACATAAGTGTGATGACATGCCGAATTGTATTTCTTCCTGAAAAGAGGTAGTGCTGCATTTCCACGTGTGATACTGACTGATGAAGATAATGTAGTAATGGTGCATGACAGATGGCCTCCATATTTCCTTGTGTTTCATACGCAGTGCCTCACTGTAAGTATTCGGTTCTATTCATAGCTTCATTTCGACATTCAGTGCAATGAAAGGAGCCTACGTACCACCGAAGATGCAGAATTCTGTTACCAGCAACGAACAGCCAGGCAAAAATCAGAAGATATATCTGCACTCTCTGTCCAATTAATGCGCTCTGTGGAGTCGCCCACTGAAGTCTGATAAAGTGCATCGGAATAAAAGGAATCTTTCAGCAGAACATCAGTGAGCTGCCAGAAAAGGATTTTCGTCTGTTGTTTTGAGTCGAATGTGCGCGCAGCACTTTATTAAAGTTTGCTAAATTAGATGAATGTGAGAGGTTTTCAAAGGGGCGGGAAGTTAATTAGGTTCTACTGTTGAATTCATTTTACTGACATAAAGTGCTCCACTTTTCTTCTTCTCCTTCCTTTCTTCCTTTACCTTTGCAAAGATCGTAACTAGAAGTAGCTCGCAATTTATTATGCATTGTAATGGTAATATTTTTATTTGTAGCATATAATCCAAAAATAAAGTGCTGTAGGATGCAGCGTGCAACGGCACGTAAAGCCGGGCTTTTCCTGCTGGATCAGACAGAATGATGCAGGTGTGTCACAACACGGTATTTACTGTTATATTATTACAAACCAAAAAAAGCCAGTGGCCTCAAGTTATCTGCCCAATCTTAATTTACAAAATGGCTTCGACTGCTTCCTGCTGTAGACTCGTTTCATTTTCAAATTTCATCAAGATTAAGGTCGATTCAATCGGATGGAAGCGCCGAGACCTTTTCTGACAACGGTGACAAATACGATCATTATTTTTCACTTCATCAGGTACTTTACATTAGACGGGGTTATCACAACCTCACTTTCTTGCATTAGTATTTTTTTATGATTTAAGATAAAGTGTGATAAACTGTAGAGGTCATGCTGTCATCGTAAATAAAAGACAAACGATCTTTGTTGTTCTGTGGACCCGCTCGTGATCTGTGTCCTCAATAAAGTCTGGAAATAACTGATAACCCTGCAAATATCAGAAAATGAGTTGAAGTAAAGAATATGCTTCCTGCTTGGTGTTAACGGGAACAATCGGGCACTTTTACGCTATTATAATGATGGTACTCGATCACAACGCTCATCCTGCTGCAATAAGAGCAATCATAACGCACAAACTCCCGCTGTGCCAGATGATCCTCGTATCCTGCAGTTTGTTCTTGGATCCAATCTAAGTATGGCTTTTTCTATTGTTAATCCATTATACTGTGTGTTTGGGCAAATACGCCCCCTCTTCTGAATATCCCATCGCTCCCTTGTTTTCAGGGATCCAGTTCTGCCTCCCCTCCACCTGCAGCATTGATTGGACGCCCCAACAAACCCCAGGTAAACTGTCTACCTGGGGCATTCGCTGTTGCTCCGTTTCAAAGTGACATATTGTTTTAATGACACATGAGGTGTCCTGCAGCACACTGTTAGAAAAAAGGAGAGAAAGTAGAGAGAGAAAGAAATATATAGTTTCTGTTGTTGAGAATAATGTTGAGGATCTGCACCAACTCACATTCATGGCATCACAAACTTCACAGGAGGCTGCAGCTGTAGCTACCCATCAAAGTCAATTAATTCAACTTGAACAAGTTAAACCAAAGAGCCGAATAAAGCCATGGAAAAATGGACCGCAAAGACGTGGGGACACGGTCGGGCAGGGAACTGTTGGGTTCTGGAGGTTCGACACTGGTGAACTGGAAAACTGACTGGGAATTAACTGGCAGGAAAGTGGCTGGCTGTTAGCAGCATGAGTAATGGGCTGGGGTTAGTTTTGTCTGGAGCCAAGCCGAGCAAAAAGCAGACTCTTAAACTGGGCGATCTGGACATGGGTGATAAACCTCGGCGATGTCTGTAGCCTTAGTCTCAAGTGGGAGTCGGTGGGTTTGATCTAGCTGATACAGACCCTTATGGCTAGCAGGCTGGTGGTTACTGGGATGGCTCAGTTTCCTCACTACAGCCACATTAAAGCAAACCTGCATATTCTGATTGAGGCAGACTTAATCGTTGAGAGTGCTTTCTCTGCTGCTTGGCATATTTATGAATGCACCAGTTTCTCAAACGTCACCTCCGAAACCTCTGTTGTTCTGTATGTTTTAATAATCTTCCTAATGAAGTGTCACATGACACGTGAGGTGTGCAGCTTACTGTTGCCCTGCAGAGGCTCTTCTTCCTGATGCTAATGCAGAGCGGTGGCACCGTTTCTGACTGCAGAAGCCATTAAATACGACCACGACAGTGTGGCTTCCAAGTACAGAAGAGCGTCTGATCCACAGATCAAGTGGAACGGGTTATAAAATGACTGTCTGCAGCCACTCGTGTGGTTTATTTATCAGGAACAATGTTTTTGTCCACAATGAGCCATCACGCTCCTCAGGACGCTTTTAAACTTTAACAAACCCTCCAGGTGTGGTTGAGTACGTCAGAGTAATGACTCACCCGCTCTCTCTTATCTGTAGTGAGTTTTTCTCATATTCATTTCTTTAATGTTTCTGTCTGCAGTGCTTGTGATAGCGCCAATAATGGAATCCACCATCATTCTTCGTCTTCCAGCCTCCCTTCAGATCATTTACATATTCTTAAAAGCCTACTGCAAAACAAACTGCTGCATTTCCTTCGTAGTTGTAAATCAAAGAGACAAAGACTCTTAACAACGTGTCACTCAACTCTCTTCCAAACTCCACGCCCATGTTAGCATGCAGCCCGCCTGATAGATGGAGAGGTCCTAACAGAGATGGAGTGGTTGACTCACTGCCTTTGTGTCTCACGTTAATCAGCCTGGCTGCTGCGCGGAGAGAAAACAAAATGGTTTTTACTTTGAATAAATTTAGCCGCCTCTGAAGGTTCTGTCATCGATTACTTTTTAGAAACGAGCACTCTGCGTTGCACTTCCTCTCCTCGCTGCGATGGACACGTCCAAACAAATATTGTCGTTTGTACTCGTGTATGCTCAAGGACTACATCCTCCCAGGTTTCTACATGTTTGTGTCACGGTTTATTTATTGCACCATGCACGTTCCAGTTAATGCATGCCTGCAACATTTAAGCACAACTAAACCTTTTTAGTTTAGTTGCAACATTTGGAAGATTTTGTGTTCCCACTAAAAACAGTCAGACTTGATGTCAGGTCTACCTGAACATGTTTAGCTGATGTTCTCTCACAGATACAGTGGTCCCTCGCTATAACGCGGTTCACCTTTCACAGCCTTTTTTGTGCAATTTTCCATGTTTTTTGTTTTGTTTTGTTTATTTAACAGCGCATTGTGATCTGCGTCCTGATTGGCTGTAGACCACTGTCAATCAATCTCCTCCGTGTGTCTCCTGTACAGTACAGAATGCATTCAGTTTGTCAAATATACATAAATCTTCGATGCTAGCAGTTTTCTCCACGACAAACACAACAACGTCGACGAAACGTTTTGCACTCCTTTGGTTTCCTTCTATAATCCTGGACTTATTTTTCTACGAAGGTTTGAACTTTGAGAGTTTAAAGAGAGAAAAGTGT